ACAGTTTATCTCTTGTTCCTCTGCCAGTTTATTGTTCATATATAAGAACGGGTGGGGAAAACCTCAAATGCACCGACGAACAAGAAAGATTCCATGACAGTGCTTCAACAACGGGATATCCATGCAGAACGAGATTTTTGCATGTCATCATCTCCACATCGTAAGTCGACTTGGCAAGATAATTTATCTGGACAAGTTGTCATCTCGACTTCAGGAAGTCGACTTAGCGAGATATTTCATCTGGACAAGTCGTCATCTCGACTTCGAGAAGTCAACTTGGCGAGATAATACATGTGGACAAGTCGTCATGTCGACTTACGGAAGACGACTTGGAGAGATAATGCCTCTGGACAAGTCGTCATGTCGACTTCTGGAAGTCGACTTGGAGAGATAATGCATCTGGACAAGTCACCAAGTCGACTTCGGTAAGTCGACTTAGCGATACAATTATGTGATTAAGTCGCCTTACTCTCGGCGATATGTCAACATGACGTGATAAATTATCTGAGTAAATAAAGAAGTGGATGGCACTCATGGAGCGCCGTAGGCGTCGGACCTAGGAGGCGTAAACGCAATTTCCGATTTTCTGCTATAGTAGAAATTTGGAAATTTGATTTGGTCGTAAACGCAATTTCCGATTTTCTGCTAGTAGAAATTCAGAAATTTAGATTGGTCGTAAACGCTCTTTCCGATTTTCTGCGCGTTGAAATTCGGAAATTTGGTTTGTCCACTTTTGGACCGCCTGTGTACAAGAAAATCAAAAATCAAAATTTTTGATAATAGAAAAATGGAAATTCAGAAAGAGGACTTCATTTCAACCATAATTCTGTTTCTGTTCTAGCAGATTTTTGAGAAAACGGGTTGTCCACTTTTGGTCCTCCATAATGTCCCCCAAAACCTTGTTTTGCCTAATCGACGCCTGAAGTCGGATATATCAGAAAAAAAATTAAAATTGATATTGATTGTCTTGTACTTTTGAGTTGCCAAGGTATCCAAGATTCACACTATGCATTTTTATTGGGGAAAATACCCACAAAAGTGGGGGAAATGAAGAACGTTTTTCACTGCCGTTGGCGCAATGTGTGTCGTTTTTTTTTTTAAACTGTTTTTCACGAAATGAGTCCCTCGCGGGACAAAATCACAATCCTATACAAACTGAGCTACTCTGCTCGACAAATCCTGGACATTCATGGTAGTATATACCTGAGTACGTATCATAAAAGTATCGTAGACGGCGCTCAACAACCATGTAATGGGGATGTTGTTTGGGGGAAAATTCGCCCCACCCCCCCCCCCCCCACCCCCTAATATTGACGAGAAATCTCCGCTCATTGGGTTTGTCTTATATGCTTTCCATGAGATGTGATCGCGTGCTATGTAGCATGTTTGACCTCAGGTGGCGGGAATGGATAACAAGATAAACGAATTTTAAAAAAGTTAAAACTCAGCCCTACGGTGTATTCTAGTTTGTGATCGGTAAAAAGTGAAAACCAATCTTGAAATTTTGTGAGTAAATATTCAAACCTGGAAGGGGCTGGCGGTGGAAGGAATTTAGTGACTCTTGTTCTATAATATTCTATCGATATATGTTAACACAGTAAGCATATTGGCTTCATATTCGACACGTTCAACATAGGTACAGTTCACACCGGTTTGCAATCACTAATATGGTGCCAGTTCATCGGCCTTAATTGCATTTTAAATCAATTGTTTAGATGAAATTGAAATGAATAATTTAATTCCAATATGAAATAAATAATTTGCACTCGTACTTTACTCGGTCGTTCCCGATGAAGCAAATCATTGGACAAATCAGTTAACATTTGGCAATGAATCAAGCGAGAGCTCGATAGCTGTATACCGCATGACAATACGCAATTAATTGAATTATGAATGGCAGCTTATGATATATAGGCCTACAGAAAAAAATTAATTACCGCTATATTATGAAGTGCAAAAGGTCTGTGTGTGTGTGTTCACGAGTTGTTCACGAGTTAATCGTTCACGGATGATCGCCCGCGAAGCGGGCGTCACCAAGGGTGCGACGGGCGGCGGGCGTATTTTCTTTTCCGAGGAGGGTTGGGATCAAATTTTGCATAATTCAGTTTTTCCTTTGAATCAATTGCAAGACACTTAGGTTCTCGTCCCATAAATTAAATTATCTCAATTATAAACTCTAAGAAAAAATAGTCGATGAAAATGAGCAGCGACGACGTGGATTCCAACCAGGGATCTTTGTATCCATAGCTCATCCACTATAGGCTACTGGTGGTAGCTCGACGACGTCCGCACTTTAAAATGCTTTAAATGTAACTGGTTGACTAAAATAACAACAATGCTCTTGATATCATTGTTCTGTTCTCATGAATAAACATACTGGCCAGAGCGAAACTATTGAATTATTCATGACTCAGTGGCCCCAACCGTCCTGGGAATAAAAGTTACGCCGGCGGCTTCATCGCTTATTCCTTACATAGTGTTCCCAACAAGTGAGGTATCAAATTGAACCGGAAAGTTTCCCTGACAAAACGTATATTTCAAATTTTTGTTTACCTAGAAAAATTGATTTCCAAGCAAGGATGATTAAAGAAACTGCTTACTATAGTTTTTGCGCTAGTTGTATTTAGAAAGCACACGGGTACATTTAATATTTGACTAAAAAAATTTGGGGAAAAAAATAAATTTTGGGTCAGACACACGGATCCAATGTTTGTTCTTTCGACGGTCCTATTTCCACCCTTTTCTCTTGTCCTCGATGCTTTCACTCAGAGTTACATGAGCAAACATCGAAGGGATGTTGGTAATCTAAAACTCTCTGGGAAGATCTCGGCGAGGTTCACATTCAACGTAATTATAAGTTTGAAGTAATAATTTATGACTAATCGTCTTGAAAACAAAACCCTGCAATCTATTGATTTTAAAAATAATTTTAAACAAATTGTTTCGGATCATAAAAAAAAACGGAATAATGTTTAGCCCCAAACCAACATAATATATTGTGGATCTTATCAATAGGCGAAACGGAGCTAATAATTGTTCAGTTCAAAACCTCTCCGACCGTCACTTTTCAAAATGAAGAGCGCCATACTTATAGGCCATCTGTCGTTTGACTTTTCAAATAAGCACCTTCCACTCAGTCGCCGAAACGTCGTCTTCTCCAATATGGGTAGGGTCGTGACATAAATTGAGGGTCCAACGTGTGGCTCTATTCCTGTCCCTGTTACCTTGGTACTTTGTGATTTTTTTTTTTATTTGTTGGCAGGCGCGTATCGGGGGGGGGGGGGGGGGTTGGAACCCCCCCCCCCTGCTCTGACACCCCCCCCCCCAAAAAAATACAATGTGCTGCATTACCTATACAGGGTGAGTAAAAAAAACACCGAACCCCAAATGTCGGGACTATTGTTATATTGAAGTTCTGCATGCAGCACTTTCAAAATTTAGGACATAAAAGCCTAATTCATAAGCTTTTCTTTAGTACAAGAATCATTCAAATCACTCATGTACTTTTCAAGTTACGGAATTCTAAACACAACCACCGTTTTAAAGTTCTGTCTATACGGATCACAAAAAAGTGTGATTCCCATGTGATTTGTTTTCGTTTTGCTGAAAGAACACTGAACTTTTTGTGTGATCCGTGAACAGAACCTTAAAACGGTGGGTGCGTTTAAAATTCTGTAACCTAAAAAGTATATAAGTGATTTGAATGATTCTTGTACTAAACTTATGAATTGGGCTTTCATATCCTAGATTTTGAAAGTGCTACATGCAGAGCTTCACTTAAACAATGGTCCCAACATTTGGGTTTCGTTTGTTTTTTTCAACTCACCCTGTATGTCCGCAACAATGGGACATAACAAAATCTGACGGGCATGACCCCCCCCCCCGCAAAAATTCCTGGATCCGTACTATGTAAATGTTTAGTAAACTATCATAGCAGACAGCCGTATCTGTGGAGAGTTGTGTTGGATTCAATTATCTTGCGTCGTGTTTAGTAAGACGGTGTTGTACTTCAGCCCGCATGTTTCTCTTTTATGTCACTATAATATTTGTACTGTTATCATGCACGCGTACACGTGCAAACACTCATCTGAAGCATTCACAGACTACGGATTTAATCTTTGATCTTGACTTTTCAAGGCTTGACTGATGTTAAATCGACTCACTTCCGCTACCCCGACCCCCCAGTAAAAACAAAATCTGAAATCTTTTCTCTTTCCGGCGATTGCTGCTTCCCAATACATATCAGCAGCCCAGCATTTTATATATCTTGCGATTATAAGCCTAAAAACAACGAAATACGTCTAATTTAATTGCACTGTGCATGATGCGTTATGCATAAGACAAGGACGATTTTCTACATTTATTTTCAGTTTTGATAGATTTTGATAATCTCTTTCCTTATAGCAGGTAAAAATCGGCATTCTAAACTTGCTTCTTTTTTCGGTCAAAGTTTTCCCTTGAAATTCCTTTCAAGTTTCAAAAGCACAATACCAAGAATGCAAAGTTATCCTGCACACAATAGCACAATCCATCCATTCAACGCAATCATGATTAAGGAACAGCCCAGGAAAACCACTGGTGTCCGATGCAGGTATGAAACGAGTATCGTGTGTGATGTGATAAACTGGTTCTTAAGTAAGATTTGAGGCTTTGCATGGTGGAGATACTAAATAAAGAAAGGTTTGCGGACACACCATGTGCGAATAATTTCTCAACTATAAGAGAATGGCTCTGAAAAGAACCAGAGGTATAAACTCGACGTTCCGGTCAGTATGCTCTGACCGTCTTCAGGAGAGGTTCTTCTCGGAACCATCCTATATCAAAGAACCATCTTACCACGGACCTTTACTGCAAAGTTCCACAGTTGAAATTCCGACTTGTCATCTTAATCTCTCAAGTCAATGTCTTCGTTTGTATTTCATGAAACCAAAATACACAACATTTACATGCACTGCTCCAAGGTTATATAATTTTGGTTACAGCAATATCCATGAATCTGTTCATCGTCTGAACAGACATTTGAACTTCAAACATCTCTTGATGGCGTTCCTGTAATTCCGGCTCATGGAGGCGTACAAGTAAGGGTTGATACAGCTGTTGGTCCACAACATGTTATTAATCACATGATACAGTGGGATTGGTATGTCCATCGAATAGAGTTCTGTTAGGCTCAGGATCCACCATGGCATCCAGCAGCAAATATAAGCAAAGAATATCAGGAAAAGGTTCCTGGTGATTTTCACACCGTGTTTCGTCGGTCCGCTCTTGGTGGTACGCCTGCGCCTTGCGTTCGAAGGAACCGACGCCGGCCGGTTCCCCTGTGCTTCGGATGTACCGGCGGTCGGTAACGACATGTTGACGGCACTGCATCCGATGGTTTGGCCTGATATCACACTCACAGTCTGTCTTTTGCAGTTTAATTTGTTGTCGTCTTGTGGGGAGTGGTTGATAGACTTGTTATTTGTGTTTGCCTTTTCCGTGCCAGTACTTTGCTCGCCCGGTGTCGGCGGAAGGCAAGTTTGGCTGGGTAGTTCTGTAACGGAACCATCAGGCCTTCCGCAGTCGGTATCCACTTGCCTGCTTCTTAATTCCTTATTCATCCCGGACCAGACAGCTACCCTTCTCTGATGGACACGAACGTGGTGAAAGGTCACGCCGTAGAAAAACGGTATTACAACCAAGGCCAAGAACATCGAAAACCCGGTAAAAACCTGTTGGTTGTGTCCAGTGAAGAAGCAGAAGTGGACTTTCAGGTTGTAACCCACGGATCCGAAATCAGTGTAGAGGGGCAGTAGAATTAGCAGGCAGGCAACAGACGTGGCTATAACGCGCTGCCCAATGACGACTTGTTTGCTGGTAAATTTTCTGTAAACTGAATCAGATTTCGTCACTCGCAAGAACCGGTTTTGTGCAATCAGAACCAGTTGCTGCAACGAGAAAACCACGGAGATGGGTATGGCGTAAGCAAGGAAGTGACACCAGGGCTGTGTACGGGGCCACCGGCCGGAGTAGTACTCCGTAGCGATGCGGCAGGGAGCAAGCACCCCCGTGATGAAGAGATCTACCCCCGCCAAGATGGTGATGTGAAGCTGGGTTGATGTGCGAAGGGACGCAGTTGTGGCCACGGCACTTAGTGACAGCAAGTTACCAATGACACCGGCTACAGACACCAAACCGATCCACACGACATCCATGTAGAAGAGTCCCGGGTACTCATCTAAGAAATTCTCCATCGTTCCAACTGACGTATCATTTGAAGACATTATTACTTGCCCGGTGGATTTATCTTCTCGTCCTGAAAATAACACGGTCCGTCTTATAGGATCGTAAGCAGATCGTAGATTGAGTCAGGAATATTTGGTATAAAAGACCAACACAGCATTTAGTCCAAATATGTTCTTTACGATCTTCCTATTCGAATTGCATCCTGCCGTTGCAGCAACGCATCTTCAAACTCTGCGAATTCAATGCGTTCCATCTCTCTTCCATCAAGTGTATCGCTGTTAAACAGCCTATCGATTCTTACTCGTGTCCTTTCTTGCGAGAAATAAAGAATGAATGTTTATGTTTCAATTTGGCTGAAATTTCACTTGTCGATGTCCAACTGCCATGTGAAATCTTCGACGGTCGAGTGTAGACAGTACTACGAGGTCACGTTAACGCAAATTCGCGTCGACCTATATTTGTTTTAATCCACATTCACTCCAGTGTTTGACTTATCGATCTACTTAACTCCACAGCTCAAATTCCAGGTTCACTCATATCGTTGAATTTATAATTCCACCCGTGCATGCACTGCGAGTGTGAAACCACACTATAGTTCCATCTGTCAAGGTTGCACAAGAGAGGAAAACATTTCTCTTTCCGAGTGATCACGTATACGCATCACAAGCACTTCTGTCAAAATATGATTCTCCGTTTTTGATTAAAACGTGACTTTCATCGTTACTATAGCTTCTACATCAGTTACGCTGGACCGTGTGGATATTGTCCATGCGCTATGCGTGGGCTGTACCGAAGTGAAGTTGGCATAGCGATATGATACAGTCGCTTTTATGAATATAATGATGTAATAAAACAATACCAGTCACGAGCAGTTGATGAGAAACCATGGAAACTGTTGCCGCATAGGGTGCCCGATTTGAGGGTATTGATTTAGTGATAAACCTCTTCAACCTAAAAGCAATCACGAAGCCATAAACGTCGATGGTCATTGAAGCTGACGCTGATTTAGAAACAAAGAAAAAAAAAGCAACCAATAGTCTATGGAGAGCAAACGAGTTTTTAGTTGAACATGCTTTTTAAAGGGAAATATAAATGTACGTTAATTTCTTCCTTATTTTATTTCTCGTTGATCTCGTCCTGACAGAATCTTTGTTGGTAGAATGCTTCCCACTCATGCCTCTTGCACTACGTTTTGAGAGAACCTCCGGCAAAATCATTTTTCTGAGATGGGTGATTGGTAAATCAATAAATCAAAATGACAAAAACTGCCATGTCAGCAGAAGACTGTTTAATACAGAGAGACCTACACCATTATTGTTTACACATTCACGACTTCTGACAAGCATTAAGTCAAAAATCCGCATCGAGCACATTGTGAATCACGACTCATGCTTTGGAAAATTGTTCCCGTTCGTGGTTTTGCTCATTCCCACCGACATATTCCAAGGTCAGGGTGCCGGGGTGGGGGGGGGGGGGGTGAATTGGCTAATCAGTTTCACAAAATCTTTTGAAGAAAGCGCCAAATCACGGTATAGGTCACTTACCATATGGTTCGTTTATGACTTCGTCGTACCATGGAGGTAGCTCCATGGTCATACGTACACGGGCACGCACATTCTTGTGCACGTTATATACCTAGTTCTTTTATTTTCGTGTAGTTCAGAAAAACCTGTGAAAAAACCCTAATTTTACTCACACTGTGAAACTCTTTCAACCCATGTTTTTCTACGATTCCCTCCAGTGTTTCTCTTCATTTTGCAACGGATAAACCTAACCCCAAAATGCCTCTAAACCTGTTTACCAGAGAGGGGGAAACACTGTGTGGACGTGGGCAAGTCCACACAACGTAGCTGCAACCTGGTTTATGTGGACATCTTTTGTTCGGAAGTCCACACAGTGAATGTAATGCTTGTACACAATTGGGAAGCAATTGAACGTATAAGCATCTTTCAAAATGATGGCGATGGGCTTCAGAACTAACTTAATATATAAGGGCTGATTGTCTTTGGGTGGACAATTTCCCCAGAGTTCAATAAATAAACCCAACAAATTTGAACAGAAAATGAAAGATGATGAAATAAGCTTTGATTTGATGTGTGTCTCAAATATCTTCTACTCTGCGTTATGAGTATATTCCCTCATTTTTGGAAATGGGGATATTGTCACTGGCTTCAATAATTATGAAAGTGAATGTTACGAACAGCGATTGTTATTTCAGCGATCTAAATTGACTGTGTTTGAATGTTTCGTTAGGGGCTAACAAAACGTGCTCGACATACATATTCTGCAAATGTATATATAAGTTGATAATGAACCCTTATTTAATTTCACTACCGCTTGACAAAAAGCGGGAGGATGGGGGCAAAACCGCGACATTTCATGGGGTATCAGCTCCCTCGGCCGGTTGATAGGAATTCTCGGCCCCTGATAGACCCCTGATAGGAATTCTTGCTTCATTTCTCATTTGTACATCTATATCGGCCTAAACATATAAAACTCCAACAAAGCATAGAAATGCCAACTCTCTTAAACACTGATAAGATACCTTTTAATCTTTATAATTCCACTTGTTCCATCCGTTATCCATGATCCATCACATTTCTACCTGTTCTTGAACGAAAGCGCAAACTACATCAAAACAAACGTCAGATAAATGACCAAATTGACATTTGTTTTTCTACTTGTTTATTTTGTTTCACGGGAAAATGACTACAGCAGAATCGCGGAGGCGTGATTGTTATCGACAACTTGCGGCTGGAAGCGAGGGAGTAGTGGTAATTGGTATAACACATCAAGTCAACACATGGTGGCGCACTTCCGGCACCCTTGAGGTTGCAGACCAGTAAATTGGTCCAAAATTGGCCAAATCACGATTTGCATGCCCTCACATATTTGAGCATATTGTGGGCCATGAACTTAAGGGTTTGTAAAAAATATGGGTGGAAGCCGTGCACAGGACTCTGAGCTTGCGGTTCTGTGCAATTTTGCAATGAAGTGTAGGCATCGTTTTTCAAAATGAACTTTTTTAAGGGGGTGATCATCTTCGGATGAAAATTTCTCCTAAAACTCACAGTTTACCCCCCAAAATCGAAAAGAAAATGAAAGATGATGAAATTAGCTTTAATTTGATGTGTGTCTCGAACACCTTTGGAGAGTTTCTGAAGTGGGGGCATTTATCATTGGGGTCGATGACGGTTTATTTACTGGTCTGCAACCTGGAATAGCCTACGACAATTAACTTGCAAACATTTTAAAATTTACAATTATTTTTGGTACATTGATTTCTAAAAAAAAATCGCCCTAGAAAAAGGCTTTTGTAAAATTGTTGCTAACATCTCAATTTATAGAAACTGAAAAATTGCATGACGTGAAAAAGAAATATCGTGCCAAACATTGATGTCTCACTTCCAAAAATCTAAAGTCATGAAATAATGTTGCTGCAGATACTGGGTAAAAATGAAACTTAATTAAGAGACTATTATTTTAGGATATACATTCTGTACAATTTTTTTGGAATAAACTTGAAGGAATCATTAGCAATTATAAAAAAAAAATCTAAGATGACCGCTGATAAGGACTGCATTGAAGCCAGCCCGACTAAGTCTAGAACCCATCGGCTGTGGGTATAGGTCTTCGCGTCGTTATCATTTTCGTTGTTACGTATGTACCCGATTTGAAAACAAGCGTGAACGAACAAGGAGACCTGGGAACGAAAATGCCGGATGAGAAAGGTGGTCAGTAAAATTCGTCTGTACCCATCTTCGAGTGATATCTCATCAAAATTCCCACATGAATGTTACTTGTGGCGCTTATAGTTAGTTGGACATTATTCTGTCACAAGTATGTGAAGAAAAAGGGCAGCCCAGTGTGAATGCCCATAGGAGGGCAGCGTGAGGGGCCCGGAAGCTCGCTTCGTGGTGTTTGCCCAAAGTTCGAATTTGATTGAATTCGGCACGGCAATGGCACGGCGTTTAGAACAGTGACGTGGCCAAATGGTTCTACGCCGTACCATCGCCGTGCCGAAAAAGAAAAGAAGAAGTAAAGTTAAGTGAGTTCGACACGGCAGAAGCACGACGTTTGACGCAGGCCAAAATAAATTAAATACGTTGCGCGAAGTAAAGAATTATTTCTCCTTCGAGACAAAGGCCATATTTTGACCGAATATGAGGTCGCTTACCGAGCCATTTTCTGGGCACAAACAGAAGAAACAATTGTATTCAAGCAAATTGACGGCAATCGAAACATTAAACATTGTGTTGTGTACTTGTGTAAATTAATTTGCCTTCACGACGTTATAGCACCATCAATCGCTTGAATAATATATTTTATGGCTTTTTCAATCCAAATCTGACTCAGATCTCTTCACGGGATCGGATGGCAACAAGTCGACAGATAGGTATAGTGCGGTAGATAGATACTCGCTAAGACGTCCGATAAATGTCTTTTGGCGCCCTCTAGTGTTGCTTTCACAACCATCATTGTGGTCAGTTTCATAATCATCACCACAACCGCCATAATCACCGCCGCCATAATCACCACCTTCGTCCCCACCACTATCATTTTCATCATCACCTTCATCATCGCCATCGCCAGCACCTTCATTATAACAATCGATAATCGAGACATATTTCACACTTTCAACCCTCGTCAACAAAAACCCGAGACTGGCGTCTTCGTCTGGCAGGAATATGACCGGCGACGAGTCACGCACGAAACGGGGCAAGTGACGACGATCTGCAAGCAATCGGAAACCGCGGCTCATTTCTGGAAATCTTCTGAAGAAATCGTAATCGCTCTTTTGCATTTCGCCCGTGGAGTATCCGATCGCATCCTCCAGGTCTTTCTTCACGGCGAGTAAGTTTTTTGTGAGCTCGGCGTAGTCATTTTCTTTCATCGTCTGGATATGATCTAGTTCGTCCTTAATGCGACGGTTTGCTGCGACCACTCTACCTATTTCACGCTTAGTTGTGACCGCAATCTCTTGTCTGATTTTCTCAACTGCTTTCAGCAAATCCACTTTCATCTCCGAGACTGTTTCTAAACTCTCTGCGACTTTTGGAAGCGATGTTTCGTACATCGGTAAGAAATCTCTGATAAACTCTCGCTTTGCAGCAGCCACCGTGACAGCTATTTCCTTCAGATCGTGGCGATTGTGGGATTCCGTAAGACACGTCACGCATATGATCTCGGAGCAGGTTGCGCAGTAGACTTCGCATCTTTTTCCAGCGTGAGTGGTACATGTCGGCACTGCCTGCTTCTGGCTTTGCAACACCGTTTCTGTCATGCTTCCCAGCCTGAAATCCGTCGGCAGGTTATTAACGCCACCCGCTGGAATCAGAGTCAAGTGGTTGCACAGGGGACACCTGACGTTTTTCTTAGCTGATTTTGCGTAGGTGAGAAGACATTTTTCACAGAAGCTGTGCAGGCAGGATAAAGTCTTAGGCTTTGTATACATTTCGTAACAAATTGAACACAGAAGATGATCGTCGCCGAACTTCTGTAGTTCAGAGCTGCACATCCCTCCCTCTGCCATGTTTGGGGATGACTGAATCAAATCTCGCCTGATCTATGCGACATAGAGAGAATTATTATTAATTGGGTGACAGAACAGAAATGTGTTTTAGGTAATGTCTATACGAAATATATCAAGAAATAATATAAATTTTCGAAAGGTGTCACGGCTCCAATGCACTGTGCTCACTTTAACACAATGTCCATCATACCAGTATTGAGATACGATTTGTGGAGCCTGAGTGACCAATAAAATGATAACGGTTTGTGACTTGTGAACAGATTTTGTGAACAAATTGTGTGTCCTTGGGAAATAACCTTTACCCCAAACGTATATCTGCGGAGGGATATAAACGAGTAAATGCACACCGGTATATATAGTTTAATAGGCAGGAATTAACCTGTGATCGACTGGCATTCTGTGCCTGGGAAGGAAATACATTTCATTCCATGGGAACCGAAGATTAACGCCCGCCTCATGAGCTATTGGTTAGGGAATGACTGGACCTTATACATTTCTCTTTATACATAACTTTTAACATCTTACCGTAACGGATTGACGGCACAGTTAGTAAACCTGTGCTGGATATTACAGACGATTGTTTTCCAGATGTGAATACAGCTGGATAAATCCCAGGTTCTTGGTGCTCTTTCCTCATCAGATGTTTTAGTCAAATAAAAAGTTGCAAAACGTTCCAATTTGTATTGCGTTCATTCCTGTTTTTTAAGCAAAAGTCATGAGTAACGCGATGAGTAATGCAGACTCGAATACCATTTTTTACACAGTGATACCATTTCAGGTCGAAGTCCTACCTATGAACATAAATTGGACAGGAAATGCGAACGAGGATTGTTATCATGTGCAATTGCCTATCATTATCAATTGACCTGAATTAACATTGGACTTTGATATTATGTGACTTTTAATGCCAGTTTCTGTCCTGCGCAGAAACTTCAATTGTGTGGATATCTCTAACCCTGCTTACGAATAATGGAAGAACGTATTTTTGAAATTAAACAGTGCACTTTGCTTTCTGGAAGGATTTGTCTTCCACAAACTTTTTTTCATTAAGCAATTATCCCTGATCTTTTATTTTAAGCAGTGGCACTGGAAGAGTGGCACTGGGAGAGCAATTGTACAGAATTCACGGGCAACAATTTTGCCCCTGCAGTCTGTTGAAGAATCTACGTTAATACGCATAGTCGTTGCTAGGAAAAAGGGCGCCCTCTTTTGGTAGCGCACGGAGCTCATAGTCGGATGAGTTAGTGGTTTGATTGAACTTGAGATTGTGGGACATTGATTTGAACACGAAGTGAGTACAAATCGTAAAGATTTAATATTCGACCGTAATGCAATTTAATTTAATGATATCAATATTAGACAGACATTATTTGATACGTCAGAGCATAATATCCGATTCCAGCATTTATTGATCCAGTATCCGTGACATCTGTACCTTTTGTTCATTAAAGCGCAAGTTACATCAGAAAAGACGTCAGACGAATGACCAAATGGACCTTTGTTTCTCTGCCTAATTGTTTTTAATGGAAAAGGACTATACACAAGTTCTGGCTAATCGAGGAGGCGTAACCTGCCACAGGAACAGCCGTGAGAGAGTACTCATAAGTGATACAACAAATCAAATTATTAAAATACAAATAAAAAAAAGAACTATTTATGTAGTACCTCAATTTGTTGTTGTTGTTTGACACATGTTCGTATTTATTGTTATTGATTATTTATGAATACATAATTTGTTTGTGGTATTTCAGTATTTGGCAGGTTTTTCAATTTGTTATCAAATATATCGGTACTGTTTTTTTTACAAGATGTATAATTATGATTATTTCAATTTCATATATCCAGGTTACTTTACAAGATTCTAGTTAATTTTGATAAAGAACAATCATAACAAATGACAATTTCCTATCAGTGGGTATCTCTTTACCATATTACCAAAAGAAAAATATAAATCAACAAAGTATATATTATGCCAATCCCATTCCTTTTTTAAATATAATTTAAGAATGCAGCTTCGCAAGTGTGAATGAAATAAATGGAGAGGTTTGATGTTTGTTTTCAATTATTTGATAGATATCATTATTATGTCACCCACTTAACCACCTTTTAATAGAGCCTATGGCCCCCAAAAAGTCTCCAGTTTCTGGTATGCAGCTTGCTCAAAAAGTGGTGCGGCGACGCGGCTTTTTTTGTTACCTGGTTTTTTTTTTTTTTTTGCTTCTAATGTCGGCTGATGATTGCAAATGGTGCCAGACTAAACTTAGTGCAAATATATGGGAGTCCACAGAGGCCACATAAAGCTTATTCTCGATCATAACCCCATCTAAAAACACGTTAAAATTTTGCAGCAGCAGGATTCCAATCAAACCAGTGAGTTTGGCCACTTTGGCGGTATGAGACATCACTTATTGAAAAAAAAACCTTTTTCATTTTGCCGACGCGCATGGCTACGGCAACGCGCGCGCATACCAGAAACCGGAGACTTTTTGGGGGCCTATCATTGGGCGTATAGCGCGCGCTAGCCAGACCCAAAACCAGGTCAGATGCACGCCGCCGGAGCCACTCCGTCGGAGCACTAGTGCTAGAAAGCAATGACAACAGAAGTGTGCATAGACTGTCCGTTACAGTATGTAACATTCATCGCTAAGAAATGATGGTAATTCCTCTTCTCTTGAAAATACATATATACCAGGTGCAATGATTTCATAGTCGAGTATATTTCATGATATTTTGACACTTTCATTTTGAATGTTTGCAAAATGGTGTCCATTGCCTTTAAAGCAAACAACAGGCTTTTGAAAAAAGCCTTTTGATGCCCCCTCTGTTGGTTCTTCCATCGTTACCTCCGGTTCCAATAGTTGTATCAGTATCACAGTCACTGATACTGCCATAGTCACCACCTCCGCCGTAATGACCACCATAATCATCAACGCTGTCGTAACTTCTGGTGACGCTGCGATAATCACCACCATCACCATAATCACCACCGCTGCTATAATCACCACCACCACCAGCGTAATCACCACCGCTGCCATAATCACCACCACCGCCATAATCACCAACGCTGCCATAATTACCGGTGACGCTGCTATAATCACCACCACCCCCATGATCACCCCTGCTGCCATAATTAGCGGTGACGCTGCTATAATCAACACCATCACCATAATCACCGACGCTGCCATGATCACCAACAGCAACGCTGCCATAAGTACCGGTGACGCTGCTATAATCACCACCATCACCATAATCACCAACGCTGCCATGATCACCCCCACCCACGTAATCACCATTACCCCCATAATCACCACCGCTGCCATAATTTGCGGTGACGCTGCTACAATCACCACCACCCCCATAATCACCCCTGCTGCCATAATTAGCGGTGACGCTGCTATAATCAACACCATCACCATAATCACCGACGCTGCCATGATCACCAACACCAACGCTGCCATAAGTACCGGTGACGCTGCTATAATCACCCCCATCACCATAATCACCTCCGCTGCCACCACCACCCACGTAATCACCACCACCGCCATAATCACCCCCGCTGCCATAATTTGCGGTGACGCTGCTATAATCACCATCACCACCATAATCACCAACCGTGCCATAATTAGTGGCGACGCTGCTATAATCACCACCATCGCCATAATCAATGACGCTGCTATGATCACCACCGCCGTAATCACCATCACCACCATAATCACCACTAATTATGGCACGGTAGCTGTCGCTGCTATAATCACCACCACCGCCACCGCCGTAATCACCATCACCACCATAATCACCCCCCGTGCCAAAATTAGTGACGCTGCTATAATCACCACCATCGCCATAATCACCACTGCTGCCATGATCACCACCACCGCCGTAATCACCCCCACCACCATAATCACCACCGTTGCCATAATTAACGGTGACGTTGCTAAAATCACCACCATCACCACCACAATCACCGCCGCGGCCATAATCACCACCACCGCCACCACCACCTACGCTGCCATGATCACCACCACCGCCATAATTACCAACGCGGCCATAATCACCACCAACACCATAATCACCAACGAGGCCATTATCACGACGACCGTCATTATCACCAGCTATTTCCTTCGGATCATGCCGATTATGGGATTCCGTAATGGTTGCGCAGTTCTTTTTTCCAGTGTGAGTAGTACATGTAGGTATTGCCTGCGTCTGGCTTTGCAACACCGTTTCTGTCATGCTCTCCAGTTTGAAATCCGTGGTCAGGTTTTTAACGCCACCCCTCGGAATAAGAGTCATTTTTTTGCATAGAGGACACTTGACATTTGTCTCGGCTGATTTTGCGTAAGCGACAAGACATTCCTCACAGAAGCTATGCAGACAGGATAAAGTCTTAGGCTTTGTAAACATTTCGTAACAAATTGCACATAGAAGATGTTCGTCGCCGAACTTCTTGAGTGTTGAGCTGCATATCCCTCCCTCTGCCATGTTTGGGGATGACTGAATCGCCTGATCTATATGCGACATAGAGAAAACTATTATTAATTGGATGTCATAAGAGAAATGTGTTTCAGGTAATTTCTATACGAATGACATACGTCAAGCTATAATTGAACTTTTCGGGGGGGGGGAGGTGGAGGAGTGGCTCCAATGCATTGTGCTCAGTTAACGCAGGTACATAACACCAGCATTGTGCGAATACATTGAGCTATACAGAGAGACCCCCTGTGTTACCATATAGGGGGATGTGTTAGGTAACAGTAGAGTAGGGTGCATTGTGTATAGGGTACAAGGAGATTGTTGGGTACCCCGGCCGCGAATTTTTTTCTTCTCCCAAACGACATCCACATATGGGTGTACGCTATGGCGTTTTGGACTTAAGTTTTATAAAAACATGAGAAGGAAATAAAAAATTAGAAAAAAAAAGTGAATTTTAACGTTATGAAACTCGGACTTTATTTTCCTTTAAAAAAACCCTCAAAAGCCTCCGGTTAGAAAGGGAAAAAACATCGGGGGCAACCGCGATTC